CTCTGTCCGGGACCCTCTATTGTGATCCCTGTCAGAGCAGTCAGTGGTGGTAGCCATGCACCATCTAGTTGTGCTGGACTCAGTCTGGTGGAGGCGGTAGTACTTGTGGTCCATTAGTCATTTGGACTAATCTTTCCCTTGTGTCTTTGGTTCTTTTTATTCTCCCTTGCTCCAGATGGGGTGGGACCACTGGAGTATCTTAGATGGCCGCTTACAAGCTTTTAAGACGCCAGACGCTACTCACCAAAGTAGAAGGTAGAACATTTTCTTTATCAACTATGTTATGCCAATTGAGCTAGATATTCCCTGAGACCATGGTCCCCACAGACCTCAGCCCAGTAATCTGGTCCCTCAGGGAGTTTGGATATGTCTATGGAGCTTCCAGGATCTTGCCTTGGACAAGTCATGCTGGCTTCCCCAGTCCTGTATACTGTCTTACCCTTCACTGGGGTCCCGATTATTTTATTAGCTCCCATATGTGTATGAAGTTTATTTTAAGTACCTCCTGCAAGCGGTTGGTGGTTCGAACCCAGCAGCTGCTTGGTGGAAGAAAAGGCCCGGCGGGCTGCTTCCCTAAAGATTACAGCCCCGAAAACCCTGGGGAGCAGTTGTGCTCTAACACATGGGGTTGCCATGAGTCGGAATTGACTCCATTGTAACAAGTTATTTGTTTTTAACCTATCTACTGAACATCTAAGAAAACTCACACAGTCCAGTTATCTGGGAGGCTGCAGACACACATACCTGAAACTAAGCAGAAAATGATGGCAGAATTAGGATAGTGACTAATATATTACCAGATAGTAAAGCATGATGAACCTAGAATGTCACTGCAGTTCTGATCACATATTGAAGTTTAACTTTATGCGGATGGAAAGCAGGCATAAATCTCTAGCCTGGGAGTTGACAGTCTGGGCTCAACCCTCACTTCTCTCACTCACTAGCTGGGTGACCTTGGATAAGTCACTTAGACTCTCTGAGCTTACTCATAAAACAGATAATACCAACTCTGTCTCCTTAGGATTATTGCAAGGATCAAAATGAGTTAAATGTTAAATCCAACAAGTATGGTAGAAATATGAGGCAACATTATTGGGGAAGAATAAAGAACTTCCATATACATTTCATTTGAACCTCGCAAAAAAACCTAGAAAATGCACATTAGCATTTCCATTTTATACTTTTAACACTGAGAGCCACATATTGTCCTTAAGGACGCATAATAAGCACCTGAATCTAGACTCAGTACTTCTCAGGACTTCAAATCTCATGCTCTGTTCCTTGCACTAATGATTATTCCATATTTTGTAGTAGCAAAGGAGAGATAAGAACTTTTGGGGACATTATTCAAAGGACCAGCTCTGGGGAGTGGTTTAGCAATAAGCATGAGGGGAAGTGACATCGTTTATCTGTTTGGAGAAGAGCGGTAACCCAGCGATAGAAGGTTTAATGTTCGCCTTGTGTCTCAGGTATTCCTGCTCCTGCAGGGAGGAGAAGGTTCAGTCAGTTTTCCTTCCATCCCTGGACCGCCAACCCAGATTCTCCACTACATCGTCGGGGGCGGGGAAAGAAGTTGGAGAAAGGTGTCAGAAAAGCTTAAGCTTAATGGGAATCCTAGGGTTTTAAGGAAGGAGCAAAGTCCTAAGAAGAAGACGTATTGTCTCCTTGCTCATCTAGCCCAAAATGGGCAAACCGAGGCGACAACCCAGTGAGCAGCGAACCGAGAACCCAAATAAGCCTCGATCCCGCCATTTCCTCCGTTCTGGCCAAAGACTACCAGGACCATAATGCAACGGTGCGCCGAGCCAATGGGCCACCGCTCGCTGCACAAACGCTGTGAAACCCAACTTCCAGTGAGCAGCTGGCGAAGCGCCGCCGGCCCGTAAGGACTACAAGACCCAGCGAGCGACCATCGCGCGCCGCCGCCTTGAACGACCGGCTTCGCTCGGAAATCCCGGGCCCAGCTGGCGGACCAAGCATCCCAGAATCCCCCGCGGGACAACATGGCCGCGGCGAGAGCGGAAGCGGAGGTGAGGGGGTCCTAGGCTCGTACGGCCCGTCGGGCCTTTCCTCAAAGAAACTCAGGGTCCCGGAGAGGGGAACTCAAATCCGTGTCTCACAAATGCGTACTGACTTTTGTCGCTGTGGTCATGGGGACGTCCGATAGAGCCTTTGCCCTGATAGGCAAGCCCAGAATTCCGCAGTCCTGACCTGGAACCTCCGGGAGGGCCGCAGAGTGAGTGTCACCTCTGCGCTCTGGAGGAGGCACGAGGCCAGTCAGGTCCCTCTGTCCCGACAGGTGCGACACTAAGCACCCCATGCCTGCGGGCGCGGGGAGGCATGGCCTCCCCCAGGGCCGCCGCCTCTGCTGGTTGCTCTGCGCTGTCGCCTTGAAGTTCTGGTAAGGAGGAGCCGAGGGGAGGAAAAGGGAGGGGACCGGATGGTCCCCGCCCCCGGGGATGGGGGCGCTGTCCGTGGGCCGTGCGGGTGAGGGCTGTTTCTGGCGTCTGATTTCTGCCCCTCTCCTCCCGCTTACCCCCTGCAGCCACGCTGAGGCTCCAGTTCGGGAGGACAAGCAGTCAGGTCAGTGATGACCTGGGAACCCGACTCCCACCATAGTTTTGTTTTACACCCTCCCATTTACGAAAAGCAGAGGTGGAAAAGGGCGGCACCGCAGGGAATGAGGGCATTCGCTCTGCTGGGAGGTTGGATGGGCTGAGCCTTTGAGAGAAGTCTTCTCTGAATGGTCCGGGGCTGGCATTTCTCTCTCCCTTTAGTGAGCACCTCAAACTTGCAGTGCTGGCTGGTGGAAGAGTTTGTGGTGGCAGAAGAGTGTGCCCCTTGTTCTTATTTCCAGGCTGTGAGTATCGGTTTTGTCTCTCTCATTTCTCACATCCACCCAGCCGCCAAATCTTATTAAGTGTGCCTTTGCATTGTCTTTTCTTCCTTTTCTTTGTAGTCTCGGTATATGTCCAAATCTGAACTTGCCTTCCCTATGAAAATGTGACCCTTTCTTTCCCAGTTAATGGCATTATTCAGCTGCTAACCATTTTTAATCCAGCAGGCTCTGGAATCTGTTTCCTCCTTTCCTAGAGCATTGCCCCTAACCGTGTAACCACCACTTCCACCGTCCCCAGCAGAACTCTTCAGTAATCTGTTACCTAGCAGCTCTGAGCCATAGCTCCGGGCACCTGCCCCTTCTGAGTGGCAGCCTTTCTGCTTCTCCTTGCTGCCCCTTCCTGACATGGCTTCTGGTCCTTTTTCCCTGGCAGAAAACTATCCCTGAGTGCAGTTCCACAGGGTACGTGGAGAAAATCACATGCAGCTCATCTAAGAGGAGTGAGCTCAAAAGGCAAGTACTGTTCTTGTCCCTCAAAACCTCCAGGATCACCTCCTCTGGTCCTAGCTGGTCCCACCTCTTCTGGTCGGCAGGTAGCATGGCATATTGGGAAAAGGAGAGATTTGGAGTCAAATTACTTGAACACAAGTCCCCGCCCTACTCCTTAGCACTATGATACTGGCTGTATTTTCTCATCAGTAAAATAAGTTAATGCTACTTCTGCTTGCCTCACCAATGGGTAAATTAAATGATAAATCGGCGAGGGATTTACGTCCTTTGGTCTCTTCTTTTCCTGTTGGGTATAGCTTGGTTAGACTGAAGTGGAAGGGATATTAGAGGGGGAAGTTGGCTGGCCTTTTCTGGAAGTAACTGTTCTTCCTGCCCTCAGCTGCCGCTCAGCGGTGATGGAACAGCAGTTGTTCTGGAAATTCGAAGGGGCTGTTGTGGTTGTGGCCATGGTCTTCGCTTGCCTTGTCATCGTTCGTCAGCGACTATTGGACAGAAAGGCTCTGGAAAAGGTCCGAAAGCAAATGGAATCCACATAGCCACATTCCACCCTTTTATCCTAGGCCTTGGAGACCCCACCTCACACAGAGGAAGTGGAATGGACTGACTTGTGCCCCGGTTCTTGGGAACCTTGGTGTGGTACCCTCTCTTTGCCCATTTTCTTCCAGATCATTAATGAGCAGAATAAAAAGCGTAAATAGTTTGTTTTCTTCCCCGCTGCAATTTGGTTTGAGGCAGGAAGTCATGGGGGGCAGAGAGGGGAACAGGGTGGCAATTTTAGGCCCTAGTTTACCAAGTACCTATATTCCCTCTACTACTTATTTAGAACTCCCTGGATACAATTTCAGCTGAAAAGTTTATTTCTCATCGAAAACTTCAGTTTTCCCTCAACGCCCTCCCCCAAGAAGAAATAAAATCACAGATACATAACAACAGTATTGAGGTGCCAGCTTCACATAGGCAGTCCTGAAGTGGTTCAGACCCCTGAGGGCAAAGACTTCTGAGGGAGAATCCCAGGAGGAGGCAGCACTATAGAAAAGCCTGGAGTCCTTATGGCAACTGGGAAGTGGGCCAGGAAGGACGGCCGTCCCAGCTCCAGCTCACATCTCATCCGCATGCAGCACAGTTCTCAGGAGCCGGCTGGGGCCGGTCTTGCCTGCCATCTTCTCAGGTCGTGTCCTCATTGAGCCATTTGTACCCTTGGCCCCAGATGGCCCCCTCAGTCTGGACTCTACCAATAGGGTCTCCAGATTTTCTGGCATGTCCTTGTGGGTCAGGATATTTCTGGAAACCACTATGAGGTGAAGGAAAAAGGGCAGTAGTAGAACGCTCCACTGGGTCTAAGGACCTCCCTCCTGCTTCCTGACGGCTGGGGAGAACACGGCCTCCCCTTGCTCACCACGGGTCGTCTCTGCCCTTGCTGCTCACCTCCATGATGCTGGTAATCCTCAGGCCCAGCTTCTGGTAGGCCCTGAAAGGGGCTGAGGCTGGGCAGGATGATGAGAACCAGGGAAAAAAGAAGGATCTGGAAGGAAGCAAGAGGACATTTAGGCTGTGGGGACAGTAAAGGAAAGGAGCAGACGGCAGAGTGAACAGAGGGGCTTTGGAGTCATCAGGGATGGGAAGATAGGTGTGGCTGGGGAGTGGGGGGCAGATGGGAAGTAGACTGATGGTACCAGAACACAGGTGCTGGTCTGGGCAGCTTTGTTGGAGGTTTGAGCAATGAGCGTCTGCAGCTGGCGGAGCTGAGCCACCAGGGAGCTGGGGAAGGAGGAGTGAAGAGTCAGTATCCCCTAGGAACCAGCGCCCACGAGTGGGGCCCCAGCGTGCTTAGTCCTCCCCCAGCACACCCTCGTCACTAGCGCACAGTAGGCTTGCGTTTACATGTTGCGCCTCTCCAGCTCCTGCACTTTGGTCTGTAGTTCCTGGTTCTGTGCCGAACAGGCAGCCACCCTGAGGGGTGTGGAAAGATGGGACAAAAGTCGGCAATCGTGTGAGCCCCGACCTTGTCTGTCTTGGTGAGGAAAGGGGCCCAGACTTGGCCCCCAGGAAGCCAGAAATGTGAACCCAAACATACCTGCTCTCTAACCCATCAATGTACTCTTTCTTCCTCCGTCTACTGTCCTGGGCCGACTGCTTGTTTCGGATTTTCCTTCTGACCTTCTTGAGAACTCTCTCCTCTGCCTGAGGGCCCATGATGTGTCAGTCCTGGGTCGTTTACCTCCCCAAACAACCCCTATTCTTCTCTCGAATCCTGGCTCCTAAAAAGCCATGGTGGGGCTTGGCTTGGGATACCCCTTGGGGAAGCATGTTACCTTGGTGAGGGGCAGGTGAGAGGGCAGGGAGACCCCTTCCTGCCCCAGCAGATGCTTCTCTTCATCAGTCAGGAACAAGGTTTGACATGGGCGCTGGTGGAGAACAGGAAAAAGGAGATGGGAATGGGGAGAGGGTCATCTCATATCCAGCACCCAAGTTGCTCCCCCTGCCTGCCTTCTGGAGACTGCTTCCTATTTGCACTGGAGAATAACTCCAGCCTAGAGGTGCGGGGCAGAGACCTTAATTCAGACCCCAAGGTCATGCCAGGCTCTGGATCTTCACCACCTCAAGCCAGAGACCTCAGGCTGAGAAGGGAGAGAGGAGATGGTTTTGTCACATCCTTTTCAAGACCCTGTTGTGCTGAGCAAGCTCAGGGGCCCAGTTCTGGTCTGAGTCTCCCCAAATCTTAGGAGTACCTGAGGAGGACCTGAAGGAACTCACTGTGGTGGAGTTTGCTTAATCTCCCTATAGCAGGCAGGCAAAGGATACTTTCAACACTACCTTTTGGCAAGTGTGTTATCCAATCTCCCATCAACCACAGGGAGCTCCCCTAGGGCAGTGGCCCGTTCGCCCCTAGGTTTGAGCCTCACTTCACAGACTGAGGCTCTGCGCTTCCAGACAAGGAACTGCCCAAGGGCAGCCAGCCCCAACAGCTCACAGCAAAGTATTAGGAGGAGGGTAGATGGCTTCTGTGGTTAACCTGAGCCCATCAACTGAGTAAGCTGCCTTTCTAACTAATACTCCTTTTTGTAAGATTTGTGCTTCACTTTGTGACTGGAAAAGAATTTGCTGTGGCTTTTGCGCCCTGACGGTCTTTGGCTTTGGGCTACACCATCTCTTCTATCTCTACCTTTTCCTGATCCTCACTTCTTTGGTGGAACAGGAAGTATTAGTTTGCTGGAAGTATTAGGGAGGTGTCCTTCCCAATCCACCTAACTAAAACCTCAGAGTAAGGCCTGAAGGACTTCATTTAAAACAACTACAACAAAATCCTCAGGTGCTTCTGATGCACACCCAAGCATAGAAGCATCAGACTTTTCAAGGTCCCTCAACCCAAGATTTCTAGGATTCTAAGATGCTCGGCTTCGTATCCCTGCTTCACCACAGATTTACAGGGAGGCTAGAAGCTGTTCCCTGCCTTTTGGGCACAAGGAATAGTTTCCAGGGTAAAGAAACGAACGGTGACCCGAGCGCAAACCCCTCTCCGCCGTCACTATGGGAACCACACAACCAGCCTCCAGAAGGTATCTGAGGTGGTTAGCTGTGCTCTGATCACTCGGCTACCCTGGAGCCTGGCCAGTGGGTGCCTGCCGGGGCAGCCGTTCCAGTGGAAACATCACTGCAGTTGCTTCTCCTCCTTCACCCTATGCCCAGCAACCAGGTGGATTCCCAGGGGGCCTGTCCCATTTCTGTGTCCTGACCGAAGGCTGGCACAATGGCTCTGGCTGAGCATACAGTGCACGCAAGGTCTGGGCTTGCTCCCGAGCCCTGTCCCCAGATTCCCTCACCCCACCTTCTTAACTGAATCATCATCACCTTACCCCCAAGGGCTTCTGTCTCCCTTATCCTTTGCTGCTTCTAAGGTTGCCCAAGTGTCCCTCGTCCTCAGGTCTGGTTCCACAAAAATTGGGGCAAATGCGGGGTTCATCATCAGTTTCCTCCTCTGTCATTCCCCTCTCCCTCATCTGTGTAGATATATATGTGTGTGTCGGGGGCAGTGGATCCGGCTGATCCCGAGACTCACCAAGGTTGCAGGAGGCGCTGGGGCTATGGTGCCTGCTCTGGGCAGGATGTGGGCATGAGCATCAAGGGGCAGCTCGCTGACCATGCAGGCATCTGGCATCATAAATGGAGGGCTCCACTGATCTGAGGGAGACATAGGCGGCTAGGGAAAAAGAGTTGGAGGACGTACCCTAGTGGTAGCAGGGGCTGGGCAGCGGCACAGATTGGGGCAACCCCCTCAATCCCAGGGCCAGGGCAGGACCTGAAGGACATTGCCCCCTTCCCACAGAGAACTGACCTAGCTGAATGGAAATGAGCCCTACAGCTGGCCCAACTTCCCCCTGCATGCTCTCCAGGGCCCCTGCCTCATAGACAACCTCATAGAGGGCAGGGGAACTGGGGGCTCTGGGGGCAGGGGGACTGTCTGGATGGCCAGGGTCCTCAGAGATGCCACTCTCACTGCCAGGAGATGCTTCTGAACAGTACACCTCGTTCGGATCAATGAAAAGCTTCAGGAAGTCTTCAGGCTCGCTCTCTTGAAGACCCTACGGTGGGAGAGAGTGTGTGTATACAGGGAAGAATTTTGGAAGTCCTACCTGGTGGCACAGTGGTTAAGAGCTCTGCTGCTAACTGAAAGGTCAGCAGTTCAAACCCACCAGCCGCTCTGTGGAAGAAAAATATGGCATTCTGCTTCTCTGAAGATTTACAGCCTTGGAAACCCCATGGGGGCTGTTCTAATCTGTTCTAGAAGGTCACTATGGGTCCGAACTGACTCAACAGCAACCGGAAACCTAACATCAAACCTAGATCTCTCATGCTTCAGTTTCCATCCCTTCTCTCTTTGGGCATGGGGATAATTACAACTCACTATTTTGGAGGCTCCCTCTTCTGACCTTTGTCCAAGTGGAGGCCGAAGCCTCTTGGGGCTTCCAATCACAGAGCTGTGTCTCAATCCCACCCCCACCCCCACCCATCACACTCACACAACCATGGCCCCCACTGGACGTCCAGCCTTGCAGCCCCTGTTCTTGTTGCCTAGTCAGTGGGACCTCTGGAGGAGGACAGTGGAGTCCTAGCTCCAGGAAGGATCCTGTCGAGAAGACATCTTCTGGGGGCTCCAGCCACACATCCAGCAAGTCAGAGTTTCCGAAGTTCATCTTTCTGCGGGGAGGAGTGTTTGTGTGTGGGAGGGGGAAATTGCAGACAATGCTCCCCACCCCAGCTTGTAGGTTCCTCATGCTCCTTCCTCCGTTAGCCCCTTCCACACATGCCCACCCCCTCACCTGTCCCCCGGGGATCTCGCCTCCGGCCTTATCTCTCTGGTTCAGACAAATGGGCCCCTTGGGCATTACCTGCTCCGAAGACAGCCCAGGCCTGCCAAGCCAGCCTAGCCCGCTGACGGCCCCAAACACTACACCTTTTCTTTCCTCCAGGATCTCACATCCTGGACCTGCCCTGCCAAACCCCGCCCCCAGCCTGACACCAGGAAAGTGGGTTGCACCCGGCCAGGAGCTGCGGTAGGGGCGCTGTATCTGGGAGCAGGGGACTAAGAGGCTGAAAGTCCACAAACCGGATTTAAGGACAACATAGGTAGCCACGCCCTTTCTGCCTCAGTTTCTCCTAGCAATATTAAGTCTTCTTCAGGGTTTGGTGGTTCCTCAGGGAAGGGTAGAAATGGCTGTGACTGGAGCACAGGACGCTTGGGTGCCTGTTTTCTGGGCATCGCTTTTGTAAGTGGGAGACCGCGGCAGGGTTGAATACAAAAGTGTAGAATCAAGGCACTTGTTTGAGGTTTACGGAGCAGGCTTCCTTTCTGGCCTCCCAGAAGGTTTTGAGGGGCAGGGCATCGAGCCAATGGAATTACCTGCCCAAGGCAGGCTCCACCCTAACTGGTCAGAATGGAGCGTCAGAGAAGGAGCCCGGCGAATGGGGCGGGAGTACGTATTTGTCAGGCGGGGATTGGGTTGCTCGGGACCAAGGGGCGGGGCTAGAGTCGAAAAATAAGTTGGAAGGAAGTTGGGCGAAAGTTCCGAGAATGTGGGTGGGAGAGGCCTGGTTTGGTTTCGCTTAGCACGTGACTGCGAAGCCTAGGTTACCTAGGCCGGGAGTAAATAATCAGTTGACCCAGATTACTTGACAGAGCGCTGGCTCAGCCGGCGGAAAATCGCGCAACCGCTGATGTCTGAGTCCGTAATCTGTGCATCATTATTCCATTGATAAAGAACAGCAGTTATATATACACACACTGTTAACTAACAGGGGGACAAAAAAAAAAAAAAAGAAAAAACCAACCAAACCCGTTGCCATCGAGCTGATGCCGATTTATAGCGACCCTACAGCGACCCCATAGGACAGAGTAGAACGAATAATCACTGCACCACCAGGGCTCCTCAAGAGAGGGACAGGGGTCTGGAAAACTGCGACAGTTTTTTTCTTTTTTTAAAGCCCTTGGGGAATTTGTTTTACCGTTTGCGTCTGATTACCAACACTATAGGTCCAGCATTTGTATAGTTTACAAAATATTTCATAAACATTGTTCGCTCAATCTCCAATAGCCCTGAGGCAGATAGGGCTAGCAACACTTTACCCATTTTACCAATGAAGAGACACAGAGAGGTCAATGACTAGAAAGTAGTGTTATGGATTGAATTGTATCACCCAAAAACAAAACCCATTGCTATCGGGATGATTCCAACTCATAGCAGCCCTGTCGGACAGGGTAGAACTGCCTCATAGAGTTTCCAAGGAGTGCCCGGGGGATTCGAACTGTTGACCTTTAATGGTTAAGCAGCTGTCGCACTTAACCACTACGCTACAAAGATTCCTCCTGAAGTAATGTGTTGTAAAACCCCTATACCTGTAGTTATACTCCTATCAGAGAATGGGTTTTCTTTCTTATGTTAACGAGATAGTATTAGTTTAAGGTGTATTTTAAGTCAATCTCTTTTGAGATATAAAAGAGATTAAACAAGGAAGTGAGCAAGCAGAGATAGGGAGATGGGGAAGAGGGACGCCAAGCCACATGAAGATCACCCAGGAGCAGAAGTTCGAAAGAGACAAGGATCTTCCTCCAGAACCGACAGAGAGAAAGCCTTTCGCTAGAGCCAGCACCCTAAATTTGGACTTCTAGCCTCCTAAACTGTGAGAAAATAAATTTCTGTTTCTTAAAGCCATCCACTTGTGGTGTTTCTGTTACAGCAGCACTAGATGACTAAGACAAATAACCCATTGCTGTCGAGTCAATTCTGACTCATAGCGACCCTACAGGACAGAATAGAGCTGCCCTATAGAGTTTCCAAGGAGGGCCTAAGAAAAGTAGTAACACTAAAACTCAGAGGTTTTTTGTTTTGCCTCGTTCTAGTGTCTAATGGTCCAGGAATTCATTTCAAATAAAATTATGCAGCGATACTGATATAGGTACGATTTTCATCTGCCTGCCTCTCCAGTAACACCCAAGGTAAAGGGTAGCTGTGTGGGTAAAGCAGGACAGTTGGGGTGTCGATCCAGAATTTAATCTGCTATTAATTCTCGTTGTGAAGATTTGAACGGGCTGATGGTAGAGACAGAAACAGGATCTAACATTTATTGAGTAATTATTATGTATCAGGCATTTTCCTGTTACTCCTAATCCTCACAGGAACTCAGAGCTGGTAGAGAAAAGTAACTTTCTCAACATTTGCATGCTGAACCCTTGCTCTTCACATCATACCAAACTGCCTTTCTAGGACTTTCTTAACAAGTCTGTCTTTCCTGCTCATCTTCTCCCTGAATCCTGCTCAAGTAATAAAAAGACAAAGCAGGCTTCCTAGTTGATGCAGAGATCTAAGGAAAGCAGAGCTGTTCTCGCTTACTCTTTCCTAGAGCAAGAAGGCAAGTAAATGTCTGGGCATGTGCAGAGATGATTAAATGGAAAAATAGCTTCAGTTACTGTTAGAATTGGAAGGAATCTCTGCTATCATCTGCTGGTCTAACTTCCCTCTTTTCTCTGATTGATCAAGCAACAGAGTAGGAAAATGACTTACCAAAGCTCACATATCCAAATTAAAGCAGAGCTGGGATTTAAGTCCAGGTGTCCTGTCTCCCAGACCATGATTACATGTTAATGTCACTAATTACCAATCGTGAAAGCGTAATTCGCCGCAGTTAAACCATCGCACATATAATATTCCCTGGAATAATCTGCTATTACCTCTAACAGTACTTTTTTTTTTTTTTAAATTAAGAGCTTGGAGTAGCAATGATAATTATTAGTACCTGATGGGACACCAGTACCACATTTCACTTCCCTCCCGATCTTAGAGCCCTAGATGATTCCTTTCTCAGAGACCCTTTCCCTCAATAAGTCCTCACATTCCCCCTTTCCTTAAGGAAGTTGCTGGCTTCCATTTCCAGAGCGGTATCAGAGATGTCACTGTCCTTTCCTTGGGCAATGTCTTGGTTATCTAGTGCTGCTATAGCAGAAATACCGCAAGTGAGTGACTTTAACAAACGGGAATTTATTTTCTCACGTTTAGGAGACTGGATATCTGAATTCAGGGCGCCAGCTCCAGCCAAAGGCTCTCTATCTGCTGGGGTGGGGGGAAGTTCCTTGTCTCTTTCCAGCTGCTATTCTTAGGTTTCTTGGTGATCATGTGGAATGTTTCTTCCCGTTTGTGCTTGCTTGCTTGCTTAATTTGCTCTTTTATATCTCAAAAAAGATCGATTGAAGACATACCCTACGCTAATACCACGTCATTAACACAGCAAAGAAAACCCATTCCCGAATGGGATTCTAAAGACAGGTATCCAAAACCCAAGCCAAACCCACTGCTGTTGAGGCAGTTCCTACTCATAGCAACACTATAGGACAGAGTAGAACTGCCCCATAGGGTTTCCAAGGCTGTAAATCTTTAAGGAAGCTATCACATCTTTCTCCGGCCAGGTGGCTGTTGGGTTTGAACCATCGACCTTATAACCAGTTAGCAGCCTACCAGTGAAGTGTTTAACCGCTGCGCCACGAGGGCTCCTTCACCACAGGTATAGGGGTTAGAATTTACAACACATTTTTTGGGGACACGATTCAATCCGTAACAGTCAGTAAGGCTTTTTTGCCTTTGCAGAAAAGAATTATCAGAATCGGATGAGCCCCTGTCTTTATTTTCTTCCTTTGTACGCTCCCCTCCCCTAAGGTTGGAAGAGGGTTTTGATAGCACAGGTTTGTAGGGGAAGAGGATCCAAGTTGAGGAAACAGTGAAGATCCTGAAGTGATAATACCTTGATGCACTCAAGGTACAGTAAGGAGGCCCACGTGTTGGAGAGTAGGAGAGTGAGAGCTGAGGTTGGAGAGAACCCTTGGGGCATGATAAGGATGGCAAATTGGCTGTGCTGAGAGGCTACAGAAGTTAGCTCCAGCCAGGACCAAATTACTGGGCTGAGGGCCGGGGACCATGGTCTTGGGGAACATCTAGCTCAACTGGCATAACATAGTTTATAAACAAAATGTTCTACAGCCTACTTTGGTGAGTAGCGTCTGGGGTCTTAAAGGCTTGTGAGCAGCCATGTAAGATACTCCACTGGTCTCACGTTGTTTGGAGCCAGGGGGAATGAAGAAAAACAAAGACACAAAGGAAAGATGAGTCCAAAGCACTAATGGACCACAACTACCACAGCCTCCACCAGACTGAGGCCAGAACTAGATGGTGCCTGGCTACCATCGCTGACCGTCCTGACAGGGATCACAATAGAGGGTCCCGGACAAGGCTGGAGAAGAATGTAGAACAAAATTCTAACTCACCAAAAATAAAAAAAAAAAAAGAGGAAGACCAGACTTACTGGTCTGACAGAGACTGGAGAAACCCTGAGAGTATGGCCTACTGGACACCCTTTTTGCTCAGTAATGCAGTCACTCCTGAGGCTCACCCTTCAGCCATAGATTAGACAGGCCCATGAAACAAAACAAGACTAAATGGGCACACCAGCCCTGGGACAAGGACAAGAAGGCAGGAGGGGACAGGAAAGCTGATAATGGGAAGCCAAGGTCGAGAAGGGGAGAGTGGAGACATGCCATGGGGTTGGCAACCAATGTCACAAAACAATACGTATACTGTTTAATAAGAGACTAGTTTGCTCTGCAAACCATCAAAAGTACAATTTAAAAAATTTATTTAAAAAAAAAAGAATTAGCTCAGGCCACCCACCGGTGGTGAGGAAGGGATGATTTTCAGAAATGTCCTGTTTTTCCCCTTTCCCGATTCTGCCTTGTTTTTTCTTTCCTGCGGGTAACTGTGGAGGGAAGTCAGGCGAAGGAAGTCAGTTTTAAGACGGGAAATGCCTTCCTTTTGGCGCCTCAGTGCACTGTAGGGGTCTTAGAGTCCTCTAAGAGATAAGATAAGTAGACTTTGGCCACAGGCCAGGCACAAGTCCTCAGTGAAGACGTGGGGCGAAGGACTTGGGAATGTTGGGGGGGAGGGGGAGACGGACTTGGGACAGGCAAAGAAGCACTAGCCTTGCCCGCGACAATTCTAGCTTCCGCTTTAAAAAAATCTCCCAAATGATCAATGTTTTTACCGACCCGCCAGCTCGGGCCCACGGGACCTGCACAGCTGCGACCCAGGTTCCCACCCTCTAGGTCCTCTCCTCGTCCCCTCCCTAGCTCTCCCGCACGCTCTGCTCGCCCCCCTCCTCCGCGCGTCTCCGGCCGCCGATCTCTGATTGCTCCTCACTCCCGTCACTCCCAGTTAGCCCCGCCCCTCCAGCGCTGCCATTGGCAGCCGGGGGCGGGTACGCAGCGGCTGGGAGTGGGGGCGGGGGGAAGGAATGAGGAGGGGGCGGGAATTCCCGACTCCAGGCCGGAACCGAGCGGATACCATGTAGAGAGACCCTCGCGAGGTGAGTGCGCGCTCCCGGGCGTAGGGCTGGGGGTCTGCCGCCCGGGCGTCCTGAGGCCCAGGAGCCGGAGCTGCAGTTCTCACATTCTTCATCTGTTTCCCGGGACCCTGGCGGCTTCAGACCCCGCTTCCCGGAGTCCGGACTTCCAGACACCGCCCTCAGTGTCGACTCAGCCCGCCCCGGGACCCCAGACCCTAGGACCCCTCTTTGGTAATTTGTCCAGACGCCCCAGCCTGTGGTCGTTCTCTGCTTTCGGGGAGATGGTGCTGGGGAAAGGGGAGCGGGAGAGTGATCCAGCACCCCAATTCGTCGTGTCCAGGTGGTCCACGAAGCCTATCTGGGACACCTTCCACCACCCCGAGCCCCCTTCGCTTCATCCACTCCTAACTAGGGTAGGGGCCGGGTCTCTACTGTCATTAGAGGACCCCGAGCTCTGGGTTCTGTTTGGAGGCAGCCCCTAGTTCTCTGGAAGCGCCAGTGAAAGTGTAATGAGATATTCACAAGACCCTTCTCATGCCTCAGTTTCCCCTTTGCTGGGTCGCTGAATAAGTCATTTGGGAGGGATAAAGTCTGATGAGGCGGAAGAAGAATGTTCCCCTGTACAGAGGGGATGAGTCACCCTGGGTTGGGGGAGGTCATCAAGTGGCTGGGGTGAGGAAGGAGCAGACTCTGTTTACCAGCCTTCCCCTTGCTTTGGCCCCATCTTTGCTTTCACGACTGTTCCCCACCCACTGTAGTCTTTTTCCTAGGTCTGACAGTCATTGGAACTACCGAGTTACCATGGGGCCCTGGGGAGAGCCCGAGCTCCTGGTGTGGCGCCCGGAGGCAGTGGCCTCAGAGTCTCCAGTACCTGTAGGACTGGAAGTGAAGTTGGGGGCCCTGGTGCTGCTGCTGGTGCTCACCCTCATCTGCAGTCTGGTGCCCATCTGTGTGTTGCGCCGGCCAGGAGCTAACCATGAAGCCTCAAGTAAGTCATCCCTTGCGGCCACGGAAGGTCTGAGTCTTGGAGTAGTGAAGGCTCTGGGGCTGGGGGAGGCACCCTAAGGATGGGAAGACAAGAGTAGGCATTGCTTGGGTTGGGGGAGAGGGGGCTGGAAGGCGTTCACTTGCTCATTCCCCTCTGTGCTCCTCTCCTGCCCAGCCTCCCGCCAGAAAGCCCTGAGCCTCGTAAGCTGCTTCGCAGGAGGTGTCTTTCTGGCCACCTGTCTCCTGGACCTGCTGCCTGATTACCTGGCTGCCATAGATGAGGCCCTGGGGGCCCTGCATGTGACGGTGAGCACTAGCCAGGCTGCGTGTGGCCCTGTGTACTGGGAGTGTTCCACGTCTAGGAGGGGTGGTCTGTATGGATCTGTTCAGGTGTCACTCGATGACTGTATGGCAGGCTCGTGGCGTGTGACCTTACGAATTGTAGTTTTGGGTATGGGGCACAAGGCTTTCTGTGGGCTGCCTTCCCCACTATGCAGTCCAGACCCCTGTGAGACAGTGTGAGGAACCTTATGACCATGTGTGGGACCTACTCTGGGGGTTAATAGTGCTCCAAGAATGAAGTGGCTCCCACCACTTTCCTGATGGGCTGGGAGTAGGGGTTTCGGCAGTCCTAGGAAGGGTGGGAGGTGAGTCTCGGGTCCAGTGTTGCTGACGAAAACGTCTGTGGCCCAAGGAAGTGGGATGTGGGGAAAGATCACATCTAAGGCATAGGAAAAGCTCCTTATAGGGAAAAATGAGCCAGCTGGGTGGTGGCGCTGGAAAAAATCCGGGTCTCTCTTCTGTCTTCCCAAAGACCGAGGAAGTCACACTGGATGTAACCCTTTATGTGTTGTTACCGAGTGACCCTGTGTCTCCATGTGACTGTGCATACGCCTAGCCTGAATGTCTCTGTGACAGTATGTGGCACTGTGTGTGTTTGAGGAGCCGGGCCAATGTGTGGCCCTGTGTTTGTGTGCCTACATGAGACACTTTGTGTATGTCTACCTCAGTGGCTCTCAGCCAGGGGTGATTTTGGTCTCTGGTGAGCATTTGAGAATGTCTGGAGACGTTTTTGGTTGTCACAGCCAGAGCAGGAGGGGTCGCTACTGGCATCTAGTAGGTGGAGGCCGGGAATGCTGCTGAACATCCCACAGTGCACAGGCTAGCTCCTCACAGCAAAGCATTATCTATCCTAAACCTCAACAGCACCAACGTTGAGAAGCCCTTGTCTACATATAACATATACCTGTTGCCGTTGAGTCACTTCCGAGTCACAGCGAATACAAAGTGGTATACAGTCACACAGATGATGGTGTCACTGTGTTACATGGAAGGAGCCCTGGTGGTGCAGTGGTTAAACGCTCAGCTGCCAACCAAAAGGTTGATAGTTCAAACCCACCAGCTGACTCCACGGGAGAAAGATGTGGCAGTCTGCTTCTGTAAAGATTTACAGCCTCAGAAACCGTATGGGGCAATTCTGCTCTGTCTTATAGGGTTGCTGTGAGTCAGAATCGACTTGACAGCAATGGGTTATGTTCTATATAAGGAGCCCTGGTGTGCGGTGGTTAAACTCTTGGCTGCTAACCGAAAGGTCAGTGGTTTGAACCCACCAGCCGCTCCACAGGAGAAAGAACTGCCCTATAGGGTTTCCAAGGCTGTAATCTTTACAGAAGCGAACTGCCACATCTTTCTTCCACGGAGTCACTAGTGGGTTCGAACTGGCAACCTTTTGGCTAGCAGCCGAGCGTTTAACCACCGCACCACCAGAGCCCCTTCTATATAACATAGTGATACAACAATCTGTGTGATTGTGTGTCACTTCGTGCCCGTGTCATCGAGTGACTCTGTATCTTTATGTGACTTAGAGTTACCGTGTGTTTGTGTGGGACCCCAAGTCTGTAACTGGGCCTCCACCAGACTCTGCAGCTTACTCCCCCTGCACATTCTTGGCATGTCTCCTGAGCTGCTTGCTGCCTCTTCTGCCCGCAGCTCCGGTTCCCCCTCCAGGAGTTCATCCTGGCCATGGGTTTCTTCCTGGTCCTGGTGATGGAGCAGATCACGCTGGCTTACAAGGAGCAGTCGGGGCCCCCGCCTCGGGAGGAGACGAGAGCTCTGCTGGGAACAGTGAATGGTGGGCCGCAGCACTGGCATGGTGGGCCAGGGGTCCCCCAGGCAAGTGGAGTCTCAGCAGCGCCCTCGGCCCTCCGTGCTTGTGTCCTGGTCTTCTCCCTGGCCCTGCACTCGGTGTTTGAGGGGCTGGCAGTGGGGCTACAGCGAGACCGGGCTCGGGCCATGGAGCTGTGCTTGGCTCTGCTGCTCCACAAAGGTATCCTGGCGGTCAGCCTATCCCTGAGGCTGCTGCAGAGCCACCTGCGGGCACAGGTGGTGGCTGGCTGTGGGATCCTCTTCTCGTGTATGACACCCCTGGGCATCGGGCTGGGTGCAGCTCTGGCAGAGTCAGCCGGGCCACTTCACCAGCTGGCCCAGTCTGTGCTGGAGGGCATGGCAGCTGGCACCTTCCTCTACATCACCTTCCTGGAGATCCTGCCACAGGAGCTGGCCGCTTCTGAGCAGAGGATCCTCAAAGTCATTCTGCTCCTAGCAGGCTTTGCCCTGCTCACTGGCCTGCTCTTCATCCAAGTCTAAGGGGCTCCAGAAAGGGCCAGGGGAGGTTGGGTGGCAACCTCTCTCCCTGCTCCCCCCCCTCCCGCCTAAGTGTATATAGAATAGGCAGGAATGGGGAAGGGAGGCACTGAGGACCAAAGAGGTCTCCAGGAGCTAGGGTCGGAGCCTTTGGGAGCCATATAATCAGTGAGAAGGAAGGGGGCAGACAAGGCCCAAAGGACAAGAGATGACTATAATCAAGAGACTTAGGATTAGGGAAGACACTGACTGCTAGGATCAGGGGTGAGACACTACACACAAAGGCAAACTGATATCCAAGAGGCTGGGGGTGGGCACCCAACTGCTGTGTATAGAGAGGGCATGGTCCCAGCGTTAGCGGTCCAGTTGGTTCTAGCCCATTTCAGCACTCTGCCACTTGGAGTGGACCCCTCCTCCTTTTCTTATCTCCTACTCTTGTATCTCCCTCTTTGGTTTTCCCAGGGGGCTAGTGCCAAAATGGCCTCTTCCTGTCGGTTTTGATACCTTCTCTGGCTTCTCCAGTCCTGTTCCCTCCTCTGTTTTCAAAGTGCCAAATAAATGCCCTCCCTCTTTCTCAAAGCACAGTTATGGCACTGAGCCTTGCCCAGCACCTCAGCGAAGGACCTGGGGTGGGGCAGAGATGTTTGTTGGGCTGAGTTGCGGGGGAGGTTGGCAGAGCCTCCTGCGGCTGCACCCTAGGGATAACAGGACATGGACATGGTCCCCATGCCCAGACGATAAACACTGAGCTGCCAAACTTTTTTATATCAGAGGAGCCTAAGGGGGAGAAGAGGGGAGGCTCACCCTTGGGGTTATTTTTGGGGAGGGAGAGCTGTGCGTTAAGGGCCATATTCTCTAGAATCTATTTTACTAACTGACCTGTTTTGGGACATGTTACCCAAATAAAAGCTGTTTCTGTAAGTCTGTATAGTGTCTGATGCATTTGTCTTGGGAAGGGGGTGGGCATGCCTGCGGGGTCCTGAATGCCAGATGTTTACAGCTGTTTTAAGTCCCTGGTCTGTTTTTTATGCAGGCCCTTCTGGTTCCCGTCCCTGAAGATGACCGAATTTTACTCCCTCGTCCCTTCCTTCTTCCCTCGTTGTCTCCACCTCTTCCTTCCCGCTTTCCTGTCCTCTCCGTCCTTAATTTCTCTCCCCCACGGCGGGGGGGGGGGGTCCTTAGTCTTGGGACCAATGTGGAACTACGCTTCCCAGCTTGCCCCGCGCAGGGAGTAGCCGAGGGGGAGGAGCAAAGTGCCCAGTTCCCGGAGTCAACGGGGCTGCTGGGAAATGGTGTCCATTTCCTCTCCGTGCTGCGTGACTGGAGAGGCCAAGGCGTTACGTAAACAAACTACAGTTCCCGGCGGCCCCCGCGCACAGCAGGTCAGGGCTAGGCTGGGGCCGGTTCGCGGTGCTCGCTGAGGCGGCGGTGGCGGCGGCTACGGCTGGAGGAGCCGGGCCGCAGCCGGCGGCGGAGGCCGTGGCTTGTACTGGGAGGGTGGCGGGGAGGGACAGGTGAGGAAGATGGCGACGTCGGGAGCGAACGGGCCCGGCTCGGCCACGGCCTCGGCTTCCAATCCGCGTAAGTTTAGTGAGAAGATCGCGCTGCAGAAGCAGCGTCAGGCCGAGGAGACGGCGGCCTTCGAGGAGGTGATGATGGACATCGGCTCCACCCGGGTGAGGGGCCGCGCCGCGGAGCGGGAGCGGAGCGGAGCAGTTGCGGAGCGGAGAGCCGGGAGCCGAGAGGCGGGGCGGAGCAGGGGCGGGAGCCGCAGCGAAGGAGGCGGAACGGGGCTGCGGGAGTCGCCGTCAGGGTGGTGCGGGCTGGAGGCGGAGGGGTAGGAAGATGGATTTTGCGGGGGGTGGCGGAAACACTGGAGAGGTTGGGGATGTGGGAGCGACTGGGGGCCGAGTGCGCGAGGCGGGAGTGTGCGGGGCGGGGGATGGTCCCCTGAGGCCGGGCGGAGGTAGGAGGTGGGTGGCCCTTGTGCATCCCTGAGTTCACGCGGGGTTTCTACCGAAGCATCCCCAATATTGGGTTATAGGTTGGGGGAGACGGTCTTCTTGTCCCTAGTCTGTCTTCTCTGAGTTGGTGATCCCCAGATTGGTCCCCCTGCCCAGCTGTGCCACTCTGGGTACTTTGGTGTCTCCGGGAAAGGCCCCTTGAGTGGTTTGAAGAACAGCGCCGGGTATAGTGGGGCAGGAAGTCCCCTCCTGCGTCCCGTCCTATTGCTTCCTTTTTCAAATACTTTTTGTGGTTTTCTGACGTGAATGAAGGTGAGATCCATTGCTCACAGACGGGTGCTTGGTGTTTTGCCCTGGCAGCGTTGGAGGAAAGGTAGGGCTTTGATTCCTGAAACCCAGTAACCGGTTGGCTACAGGTTATGTGGAACCTGATGGTTTGCTGAGCTTTCTAGGGAGATGGTTGCTTCATGATCCAGTTTATTGGGTACCCTGTATAGGAAATCTTCATTCCTAGGAAGTTCCAGAAAGAAGACAGCCTGGCAGAGCTGCCTCTGAAGCCCCTTGGGCCCTAGTTTCTTGCTTTCTAGGGCCGGATGTCAGAGGGGATGGGTGGGAGTTTGCCCAGCTGATATGCAGCCCTAATTTAGGGACACATTATTCTCAAAACAGCAGGTTAGGGTATTGCAGTGATTTCTCATGGCAGGGAGCTGGAACAAATTTAAGGGGAAATGGTGGAACATAAACACCACATTTCGGGGCTCTTTCTGCTAGCCTAAGATTGCATCTGTCTCTGACTGTGACTCTGACTGATTGTATTTTTGTGTGTACCTCCCTTGACTCTTAGTCTTTTTGTGAGTGTGTTTTTTTTCCCCCTTTGAGTCTCTAGGGACCATGTGCCCCAGTTTGTGGGGAGTCAGGACAGAGTGATGTGGAGAGGCAAATCTGGTGCGTGTATATGTGTGTGCATGTGAGTGTGGGTGTGGGTGTATGTGTGTGTGTGTATGTGTGTGGGTGTGTATGGGTGTGTATGTGTGTGGGTGTATGTGTGTGCATGTGTGTGTGTGTGTATGTATGTGTGTATATGTGTGTGTATGTCTGGTGTATGTGCATGTGTGTGGGTGTATGTGTGGGTGTGTATGTGTGTGTATGTGTGTGGGTGTATGTGTGTGCGTGTATGTGTGTGCGTGTATGTATGTGTGTGTATGTGTGTGTATGTCTGTGGTGTATGTGCATGTGTGTGGGTGTACGTGTGGGTATGTGTGGGTGTGTGTGTATGTGCGTGGGTGTGCATGTGTGTATATGTGTGTGCACGTGTATGTGTGTGCGTCACTCTAACCACATGAGGATCTGATTTAATTTTTGACTGCCCCCCTTTGGGAGTTTTTGATCATGGTGGGGGCAGAGGCGAGAGGCTGGGAGAGAGGCCAGTGTCCAGCTGACAGCTGGAGGCCCTGTCCTCTGCACTGTGACTTGAGCAGAGGTGTGGTGGGGTGGTAGGGCTTATATGTGCAAAGAAGGAAAGACTGAGAGAAACTCAAAGCAGGGTCTTTTATCTGTGTTGTGCCTCAGTCTATCAAAAGGCACACCACCCTTCCACCTCCTTGCCCCTGATGGGTGGCTGCTGCGCAGAAAAGTCTAGTGGGCACACATGGCCAGGGCCTGGGGACCCAAGAGTCCAGAACTAGAGATAAGAGACCAGGGGCTCAGCCTCTCATCTGGCCAGTTGGGAGGGCTCGCTTGAGGCAGATGCGGCTCTGGGGGCCTATCCTGCCAAGAAACTGGACTTGCCGTACATGTTAGTAACAGTCTTGAAGTGATCTAGAGCTCAGCATAGTGCTCACTGAACTCACTGGGCTGACCTCTTGGAATAGCAAGTCAGTTCTGACGTTGGCCTAGGTACAGCAGTGTGACCCTGGAAGCTCCTGGAGCTTACTCCTCAGCCACCCTCCTCCCCATGGCCTTGCCCTGGGTCTGTTTATTTGGCTAATGGCAGTGGCTGAGCCTCTGAAGTAGGTGCTCACCTCTCCCAGAGGGACATGAGGTCTGTCGACAGACTGAAACCATGCCAGGGTGCGGGTTGTAGCCTTACCCTGGCTCTAGGCTTCTCTCCCGAAAGCGGAGGTGAGGCTAGGGAGATGGCTCTGGCCCACCCCCACGCTCCAGGTTTCCTGCCAGTTCAGGGGCCTTAGCATGCAGTGGAAGAGTGTCCCTGGGTTTTGGCACTGTTTTCCAGCTAGGAGAGGCGTCATTCCTTGGGTGTTCTAGCCCTGGCAGGCACCCTTCTTGGGGCTGGGCAAGTGGCAGGGCCTGAAAGCCTGTGCCCCTCCAAAGTGGGGAGGAAAGAGGCTGGCAGTAATAGCCCGGTGGCATCCACCTGTGGTCTTCCCCTTATCTTTCAGTTAGTCCTGGACACAGCTGGAAGGAAAGCAGAGTCACCTACTAGGTACTCTTCCCTGGGAGTTAAGCCATGTGACTAGCCCGGGGGCTCCTAGAAGCCCTTCAGGGACTCTGCTTAGACTGATGCCAACTGGGACCGGCCCTGAGCAGAGTGTCAGGCCCTGCCTGGCAGGGTGATGCCAAGCAATAGTGATTTCACTGGTGAGGGGTTGGCTGCCGAAGGCTGCGGTGGATTGTTTGCCCCCGCTCTCAGTGGGCCTTTTCCCCAGCACTGGTCTTTTTTGTTTTTTTTTTTTCTTCCTAAAAAGCACCTGAAAGCAGCAGCAGCAGAGCCTGATGACAGGGATGGATGGTAAGGGTGGCCGAGGAGAACAGTGCTTAGGACCCTCCCTGACACTCCCGTTTGTTCCCCATCTCTCAGTTACAGGCCCAGAAACTGCGGCTGGCGTACACAAGGAGCTCCCATTATGGTGGTTCTCTGCCCAATGTTAACCAGATTGGCTGTGGCCTGGCTGAGTTCCAGGTGAGTGGACACCAGCCAGGGAGGAGCAGAAGCTCTCAGGCAGCTCCCCCTGCTGACTTGATGCACCTGTCCCTTTTGGCAGAGCCCCCTCCACTCACCTCTGGATTCGTCTCGGAGCACTCGGCACCATGGGTTGGTAGAACGGGTGCAGCGAGATCCCCGCAGAATGGCGTCCCCACTCCGCCGCTATTCCCGCCACATATCCTTCACAGGGGGTTTCAGGGTTCTGGAGGGACGGGCTTCCTTAGGGGCTCATGGTAGGAAGGGGCTTTCAGTGGTGTTCTTCCTTCAGTCCTGTCCTTCTCCAGGAGCTCTCCCTTACCCAGCCTCCTTGAAAAGTGACCATTTGGCCCATGTGTCAGCATTGGCTCCTGTGACAAGGACTTGCTGTTCTGAGGCTGCACCCTCCATCTCTGGCTGACGCTGACTGCCTCTCTTCAGCTCACTCTTTGCTGCCAGAGACAGGACTCCCTGATACGTTTCCTGCTAAAGGGGGTTTGGTCACTCTGCCTTCCATTCCTCCTCCATTTCTCCTCGCAGTTCTGTCCTTAGCTTTCAGTCGCCGAGCCCTCCGCAGACCTGTTCACCCCAAGCGCTGCTCAGATGTTCTCCTTTATTTCTCCAGCTCCGTTAGGTCTGATTCCCTCTTCTTTTCCGTTCTTTGACCCTATTGTTGCCCCTTGTAGAGGAAGAGGAAGGTGTATGTTTCTGGCAACAACTTACCTGGTGCCTCCATTATTCTCTCATCTGGTCTCTTCCGGAGCCCTGGTGGCGCAGTGGTTAGGAGCACGGCTGCTAACCAGCCGCTCCCTGGAAACCCCACGGGGCAGTTCTACTCTGTCCTACAGCGTCCCTGTGAGTCGGGGTCGACTCGACGGCGCCAAGTGTGCTTTCTTTGGTTTGGTCTCTTCTTTCTTTTCATCCCCTTCCCACTTTTTTCCGTAACTGGTGCTGTTCACATCGACAGTTCTCCCTACAGTCCTGCCTACATATCTCCTCCCCCGGAGTCCAGCTGGCGAAGGTAAGTGTCCAGGACA